TTTTTTTTCTGAATACTTTTGATTTGTTTTGGTTTTTAAGGATATTACGTTTTAGTAGAGTAAGTTTGATCCAAAACTTTACAAATATTAGAGGTTTTCCGACAAAAATAGATCTTATGCTAGCTTACTTAATTGTTCTCCGTTGTTTCTTGGACAGTTGACTATGTGTTGTTATGAAAAGTACATTTGACTTTTCTTTGGTAGTGATAGTGTGCCACCAATATTCTGACAAAACGAATTATATCCACGCTAGTTAATTGCTACCTTAATTAATCATTGCGCTACATAACGTGACCATATTAATTAAGCTACATATCAGGAAGTTGATCAGTTACAACCAGCCTGATATACTAAAAAAGGCCTAGTTGGTGCTGAAATCGGTCTTAGTTTTAATTCGGTACATAAGAGTAGTTTCAAATTGGTTTGGTCTGGTTATCGTATGATCAAAATTTGCCGGTGTGTTTGCGACGGATCCGTGGGTAGATACTGTGTATCACGTGATCTCATTACAACTACCTTTAAATTCACTCCTGATTTTTCCAGAAAATCATGTACATCTGTGCTTTCTTCATTTTCAATTTATTTTGTTATGTTTCCAAAAGGATATGAATGAAGAAACATTACTATTTATTCCTTTTATTCTTTTTACCTCTTTAGTTAAAAAATGAATTGTTTCTTTAAAGAAAAAAATTTCAATTCAGTTTTTTTATTGAAGATTTGTTTTTAGAATTTTTTTTTGTTTTAAATTAAATGATGTTTTCAATTTTTTCAACGTAAAATTGATTAATTGGTAAGTTATATGATTTTTATGCATTTTCTAGTTTGTTTTATTATTGGTTGAACGTTTGTTTTGCAAATATAAAAAATAAAAAACTTGGACGTATAATGCTAAAAATTGGACTAATAAAAAACAGAAAAGGTATTTCCCTGCAAACAAAAAAAATAGTTAAAGTAATCATATATTACGTGAACTGTAGTTCAATTTTTTTTTGGTCAAACTGTAGTTCAATTAAACCAACAACTCTTTAAAATTATTCCGCATAAAATTTTTTTGGTCAAACAGAAAAGGTATTTCCCCTTCTTTTTTTGATCAGAAAAAAAAAAACTAGCCTCTAAAAGCAAATCTCAACTTGTAATCGGCGTAGAAACTGGTTTAATAGCATCTAAGATGGGTTGACCGGTTGAGATAAAATCCGGATTGATTTTTCTTGTGATTAGAAGGTTAACTAATTTAATTAATTCAGGTGAATAATTATCCAAAAGTAAATACTTTGCTGGCTTTCTCAAAAAAAAAAAAAAAAAAATACTTTGCTCGCTTTCTCAAGAAAATAAATATACTTTGCTCGGACAAAAAGGCTAAACGCCTGCACGCATTGTCTCTTCACCATCTCGATAAAAAAAAAAACTCAAACTTAGAGAGATCCTTACACATACTTTCCTCGCTCTCTCAAAACCCTTATCCTACGATCTACACAGCCTCCGATTAGGAACCTTCTCCCGGCGATCTCGTTTTCGTTTCGGGGGGAATGGCATTTCCGTAATATTAGTAATGAAAGTAGTGGTGAGAGGTCATTTGTGTCTATGGGCGTAGCTGAGGTGTGGAGGTCGCCTCAGCTCAACGGCGGCGGGAACAAGAGCGGGGGGTTATGGAAGTGGAGATCTTTCTCGGGTCAGCCCAAGAGAAGCGTAATGTGGAAATGGGTTTGTGGGTTCATGCTTTTCACCTTAGGTGTCATCTCACTCTTCACCGGTCATGTTGTTTCTCACCTCGAATGGGCTCAGCAATTAAGCAAACAAAGCTTACTGGTACCCTCTTTCTTTCTTTCTTACTTACTTGCACTGAGATCATTCACTGTTTCTTTTTCTGAGTCTTGAAATTGGTTATCTTCAGGATATGAGGCGTAAGGAACCTATTGATGTGTGGAAGTCAAAATATTCCAAGTTCTTTTATGGATGTAGTGAGAGAGGAAGAAACTTCCCACGTAAGTGTTAGATCTCCTTTCGCCATCAGAATTTTGGATTCTAGTAGAGTAGTAGGAGAAAGTCCGTGACTTTATTCATCTACTACCAAATATGGCTCTACCCTGATTGTTTAAAAGAACAACTTTCTTTCGACATTTGTTTTGTTTTTTTTCATCTTGTTTTGGGCATGTGCAGCTGCTGTTCAGGAGCATTCGTCTAATGGGTATTTGCTGATTGCAGCTAGTGGAGGTCTGAACCAGCAAAGAACAGGAGTAAGTGTGTCAATAGAGTATAATACATGGCTATGTTTCTGAAACTGAATGTTCTCTTTATGAGCAGATAACAGATGCAGTCGTCGTTGCACGGATTCTTAATGCTACTTTAGTTGTACCTGAGTTGGATCACCATTCGTATTGGAAAGATGACAGGTAACTTTTAGCAAGTTTTGACAAATGACTACAGTCATGTGCCTTGTCACTTTTCTATGTGAGTGAATCATGAACACAAACCTATAGTGTACTGAAAATGTTGCTTTGTTTACTGTGTAGTGACTTCAATGACATTTTTGACGTTAACTGGTTCATCGCTTCTCTCACAAAAGATGTGACTATAGTAAAGAGAGTTCCTGACAAAATCATGAGGTCGATGGAGAAACCTCCTTACACCATGCGTGTCCCTCGAAAGTCTACTCCTGAGTATTATCTCGACCAAGTATTGCCAATTCTCTCCAGGAGACATGTAAGAAGACTGCTTCACCTAAGAATCAAATTGTCTCTACTATTATCCCCCCATGTCTATATTTATATCTCATATTGCTTTCTATTCTCATCAAATGTTTATGGTTTTGTTTCAGTTTTGTACGGTAGGATCTTGTTTATGTTTTTTTGATATCTTGCAGGTGTTACAATTGACAAAATTTGACTACAGACTAGCAAATGATCTAGACGAAGACATGCAAAAGCTGCGCTGCAGGGTCAACTATAACGCCCTAAGATTCACAAAGCGCATACAATCAGTTGGGATGAAAGTGGTCAAGAGGATGAGAAAGATGGCCAAACGTTTTATAGCTGTCCACTTGAGGTTCGTCCATTTTAGATTGTTCCTCTGATTTCTTCTTATTGATGTTTCCTTCATCTGGTATAAGAATGGCGTCTGCATCTTCATGCTATGTACATAATCATACATGCATTCATTGCAGGTTTGAGCCTGACATGCTAGCCTTTTCCGGTTGTGACTTCGGCGGCGGTGAAAAAGAGCGAGCTGAGCTGGCTGAGATAAGAAAACGATGGGACACATTGCCTGTGAGTTCACCAATCTCTTCTGCATAACTTTCTTAAAAATCCCAATTCCTTTTCTTCTGCAAACATCTCACTAGGCAAATCACTTCAGGATCTGGACCCTCTAGAGGAAAGGAAGCGTGGGAAATGCCCACTTACCCCACATGAAGTGGGTTTAATGCTGCGTGCTCTCGGTTTCGCTAATAACACATACATCTATGTTGCTTCTGGAGAGATATATGGTGGTGAAAAGACACTGAGACCACTCAGAGAGCTGTTTCCAAACTTTTACACAAAGGAAATGCTTGCCAATGATGAGCTCAAGCCTATGCTTCCCTTCTCTTCACGCCTTGCTGCCATTGACTACATAGTCAGCGACGAAAGTGATGTCTTTATTGCTAACAATAATGGAAATATGGCCAAGATTCTTGCAGGCCGAAGGTAACAAACCTCCCTTCTTGTTCCCATTAAAGTTTTTAGTGTAATCACACATATTTATGTGTTTTAGGAAAAACAAATATTTCACAAAGATAAACTTTTTACGTTTTCGATGAAAAAATTATAAACTTCAATAAAATTAATTGACTTTATTGAATTAATATATTGATTAAAAGTTATTGGAAATTGAAAAATACAGATACATTTATTATAGTGATTTAATGTGTTTTCTTTTTAAATATGTGTGATTACACTTAAAAACTTATCTTTGTGGATCGGAGGAAGTATATTTATTCAATCCATCAGACATGAGAATCATCACTTTTGAGTCATGTGATTGCAGGAGGTACATGGGGCATAAGAGGACCATAAGGCCAAACGCTAAGAAGCTTAGTGCATTGTTCATGGACCGGGAAAAGATGGAGTGGCAAACCTTCGCCAAGAAAGTAAAATCTTGTCAGCGTGGGTTCATGGGTGATCCTGATGAGTTCAAACCAGGACGTGGTGAGTTCCACGAGTACCCGCAAGCTTGCATTTGTCAGAGACCCTTCTCTTACGACAAAACCTCAAGGGATGATGAAGAAGAAGCTGACATTCCAGAAGAGGTGCACAACAACACCAGCTCTGGACATGGTCATTTGTCTTCAGCAGACAATGAGCGCGACGAAGTCTTTCCAGACTAGTTAGATTGGTTCGTTGGATTTTACTGTAACCAGGTTGGTTAAACATCCAAACTTTGAAGTAGGATAAATATTACATACTACCATAAGAATCTACATGGTTTTTAAATACAAGTGTTATGTTGTTTCAGGTGTTGTAAGGAGAGTTGATCAACAACACATGTAGACAAGAGAGGTATAGGAGCTTCCCCACATAGCTACTTGCTTGTTGCTTCAAAGTGTTTATAGATACTTCTATCGAATAGGCATACATAACTCACTCTCTCTTTGTTTCTTTACTGGTTTTGAACCACTACCTAAACTATCTCGTCTTGTATTTTGTCTTATATTATTACCTCAAATCTAGTTTTTTTTTTTTTTTGTATTTCCCAGATTTCCTGAAGTGTAAAATCAAGTTTTTTTTCTTCTCTGATCCCTAACATTTTTGTTTGTTTGTATGTTTCTTTGAAAGAAACATGTTGAATGTGATAATTCTAGTTTGATTATTTTACTTTGGTCCAATCTCAAGAGTCGTGTCCTATTTGATGAAAAAATCATTAGTAGGTCTGCGGATTTGAATCAAATTCGATTATCAGTTTGCTTTAATTTGGTATTAGTTAGGGTGAGGGTGAGTCATGGTCAAACCAAAAATGAAGTTCTAAAGTTATAGTTGAAGAGAAAATAGAGCACAGAGGTAAATGAACAAGGTAGTTGGGATAGAGAAGAAAGCAGAATGGTCACTCTTCTCCAATGTATAAAACTGAGATGGTGGCCACTTCTCCACCATACGGTCTTGGAGTATAGGGTCACATAGGTTATCTTTAGCAGTGTTAATGTAAACTCTAGGAACTTTCTCCGCTTCAGTGTTTGGAGGCAGCTTATCAATACAACGCAAAGCCCTTACCGGACAAGGTCGCAACAGCTTAGATGCCAAAATTACATCCTACCAACAAGGCAACAACCATATATATCAGATCACCGCATTAAAATTACCGAAACATGATTAGAGAAGTAACTAGTTAAGAGAGTAACCTCAAGGGTGGTTTATCAGGGCCTTCACCGTATGTAAACTCCCATATGTCATCGTCTTCTCCCAGACATCTTTAAAATACCAAGCACCGTGGCTAGCTCCATGAACGAGTACAAAGTGAACTATGGGCTCATCACCACCGTCTGCTCCCATCGTAGTCTCTCACTCTCTCAGTCTCTCCCTTTCTCTATATATACACGTTTGAAGTTTACTCTAATTCACTTGATTTTAATACAAAAGTGAGCGGGGTTTGGTCCACATTTTGGAGATAACAATTATATCCTCATCCTGTTTCTCCGACCCGTGGGACCAAACTTAATCGTCTCTTGTATAATTTGTTTTTCGTCCAACAAGTCTCTTTATTCTCCACAGTGAGCACCCTAAAGAAAAAAAGACTGTTCAATATGGAAACAACCAATACCACACATACACACCAAAACAAACATATAAAGAGCTTCATAAAAAAAGAAAGAGCACCTGGTCATGTTTTGCACAAGTACCTCCGCATAAAAATTTAAAACATGAAAGAGAATATAGAAAACACAATAAATATCTCTGTGGAAAGAGCATTATTTGTGAAGATGTCTTGATGAGTTCCTCACCAATAAATAACTAGATTAAAAGAAAAAAGTAAAAAAGAAGAAAAAAAACTATCTCTCCGAGAAGAAATTCGTACGGGAATAAAAGAAATTTTTGTGCGAATTAAAAAAACTCAAGTGAAATGTGTCAACTAATGGTTGATTAACACTACTTTATAAATAAAAGTTTAATAACTTAATTACTTGAGAAATTTTAGTGGGTTTTTCACCAATATGTATGCTTGATGAGTGATTAGTTCTATATGTGTCAATGGAAGTGTTTTAATAATTAAAGCAAAAAGTGGCTGTAGAAATCATTATAATTTTTATCGATTGTAAAATGAAGAATACAAATGTTGATGTCTTAAATATATCGTATGTCTGGGGGTTTAGGAGTCTGTCGGTTTTGGTTCGATTGATTCAAATTTTTAAATTTTCGGTATTACGCTTTTCGGACCCATTCAGGTTTTACTATTATCAAATCAGTTTCGGTTTGGTTCCTTCTTTATTCAGTTGGGATCAGATTGTAACCAAAATATGAAATTAGCCCAAAAAATATTTTTGAAACCTCAAAATTGACAAAAAAAATTGCCAAAATATTTTAATTATTTGTAAATCTAATTTAAAATTAGTTAAATTATCTAAACTAATTAAATAATATTCAAATAAAAAATAAAACAAACTACGAAATCTTTCGAATACAATAAATTATCTAAATTACCTTGACATATAAAAAGTATTAACATATTATACTAATTTCATCATCTTTCGGATAGTTCGGATTTCGGTTCGTTTCAGTTCGGACTACGACTAAATCCCAAAGTAGTAAGATCATAAGTCTTGTAATAGCTAGGTAATTTCGTAACTTTTGTTTAAGGAAAGAAAAATATTCTTTGGTACACTAATAACTAATTAGATAGTTAGTTTAATAAAAATATGAGAAATAATTATATAGACCAACTTATTTTTATAAGGATTCTGAGCATTATTATGTGATGATACATGCATACGAAAACATCTTGTAATGCTCCATGATTAATATATAGGGGATTTCTTTTTTTTTTTATAACAAACAAATAAAACAATTGTTCACAAAATTTTCATTGTAAAACTTTCAACAGTTTTAGTAATTTATAGTCATTTTAAAAAGATATTAACATATGAAAAAAATCTAGATTGTTTATTTTTTTATAATATAAACTAACCAATGATATAAGTAGTAAATAAAAAAGAAAAAGAAGAAGAAGATTCTCACGGGCGAGTTGTTAGAGTATCCCCATTGACAAATCCCGCCGATCTCGATTCCCCATGCAAAATTTTGATTATTTATTTTTTTTTTTTTATTTTTATAAAAGAATTAATAATCGAACTCACTCACATTTACCCACGTGGCGAATCAGTGATTGGGTTCATCCCAGCGAATCTTCAAGACCTGGATTCACCGAAATCATCATTTTTTTTGATCCGTATATGAACCTGATAAGTATCAAAGGGCTTACTTTCAGAAGAAGAAACTATTGGAAGAGTTTGAGGGAAAGACTCCGAATGAAGCGGAGGGTTCGAAAATTTGAATTGTCGCGGAGACTTGTTTTCGAAGAGAAGCTTTGCCGTTAAGAGTGAAGCCGTTGGAGTTTGTTATAAATAAAGGAGTGGATGTTTGTGAGATCTTTTATGCTTGATTGTAGTAGTACCTTGGACGCCATGAGTCTAAGCTCAAGATCGTTATGAGATCTTGAGATTCAAGCTTTGATTTGTAATTCGCGATTTCGATAAACTCTTGTGATTACATTTCTATTAATAAGATTTACATAACGAGTCCTTTGAGTTTCTGATTACTAAAAACTATCAGAACCTCCCTCACGAACCTTTGCGGATGCTCTTAGTGTTATAGATCGTTTCTCTTGTACACCTTCGAAGTTTGTTTTGTCACCAGGCGAACGGTGAAACTCTCTACTCCGACAGACGTTATAATGCCGGTAAGTTCCTCCATTCCGGATCTTACTTATCTGATTTTCCGATTTCCGTTTCCCTACTGTCTATTTGGTTTCCAATTTCTGCTGATTCCGACTTGACTTACTGCAAGTTTAAGACGGTGATAGAGGTAGAGCCTCCGAGTTTATTCCGGTACTTGATCGGAGCGGCGGCGGCGGCGTCGTATTACCATGATGTTGCGCGTCCCATCCTCGTCTTCCTAGTATAAACAGACCTAGGTCTGCCCTTTTCTTTCGCTCTCTTCGTTTCCTCAATATGATCTGCAGAAACGCCTCACAGGTTTGGATGTTACCTGTGTATGGGATGAAGAATAATAGTTTCTCTTCTTATGTCTGTATGTGGTTTTGTAAGCTAGTGAAATGATTTTATTATAGTCTCTTTGATCAGACATGTAGATGATCTGTTTGAATATGTTAGTGCTGTGCATTCGAGTTCAGGTGATCAAAATAATTTTAGTTGCTCTTCTTCGTTAAATCTTTTCTTTAGGTGTGTCATTATTTTGCTACGTAGTTTATCATCCTGGTTCTGATAATCTAATGCTTGTCTTTACTTTTCAGGAACAAAGTTTTGATATAGAAAGAAAGAGACTGCGGATCATGATATGGACGATTGTATGATATAGAAACCCAGAGACATTGATATCCGACGATTGTAAAGTCGTAAACCGAGAAAATATATCAGTATTTTTCTCTGTATCATTTTCTTCTTAGTTAGGTTATTAATCAAGATATCTATTATGTAACACAACTTCTCTTCTGTTTGGCGGAACATTGAGCTTCGTTCATTGTATCTTCTTATTATTTTGTTAATTGATTTTCTGTTTCTTTGTAAATTACAATTATATTCAAAGCTTGAAAATACTAGTAGATAGTGTGTAGGCCTAGGTCAAATTACAAAATCCGTTAACCTCAAGTAAAGAACGCGTCAAAGAGATATGGAAACTTAATAGGCTTTGAATGTGAACAAGCAATGGGGAGGGAGAGCATTCGAAACAAGTGAATAACGGAGGAGGGAAGCTTGCAATTCTCTTTTTCTTCTGGTTTAGTGCGAGATATAAAAAATTCTCTATTTTACCTATTTCAAAGAATTCTGAATTTGTTGCACTAGATGTACATATTTTTTTTTTGAAATAAGCTCTCTCTCTCTTCTCACCGTTCACTCTCTCTGAATCTTTCACGGGAGAAGAAGAGATGAGAAGCTCCACTTTCGATTCAACTTCATGATTGAGTCGATTTTTTGGTGTAAATATTTTCGGTCCTAGAATCGAATTTTGTTTTTCGCAAGGCGAACTATCTCTTCGCTTAGGCGATTTGATTTTCGCATAAGGCGATTTTGTTGTGTTTAAATCCGAATTTCTCCATCCTGTTTAAATTGATATCCCGTTTTGATTTTACATGACTCCAATCTTCTTGTTAGTTAAGCTTAATTTCTTTCCTATACAAGGAATCAATCTTTGCTTTCAGAACTTTACGGCGAAGTATCCTTTAAAGGTATGAGATTAAGATGATTGAGTAAGCATGGAAAGATGATGCAGGTTCAGATTAAGCTGGAGTTTTCTTCTTTGAAAGCGTTCTAGCAAGACCCCGCTTCTATCTCTCTGAAGCTACTCACCGGATTCATCTCTACCGAGAAGATGGAGAATCTTGTAGGATCGACAGAGAGAAAGGATTGGAGGAACGGTCAAGTAGATCAACTTGTCGAAGAAATTAGTTGAAGGTTTTGAATCTGGTAGGTCTCCGGCGAAACCGATGGCACCATCTCCGATCTCCAGAAACGTCGAACACCAGCTCCAGACACACGTGGCATTCATGCATTAGGGATATTCAGTAGAAAGCACGTGTATTTTCTTAATGTCTATCTTGTAAAGTTGGGTTTCGATTGGGCTTAGTGTGTAAATGGGAATGGGTTGTCTACTTGTAATGTTTGGGTTATGGCCCTTTAATAAAAATGTTGACAAAAACAAAAAAGATGTACATATTTTTTTATATTTTTTTTTAAATAAATTTAACATTTAAAGAAAAGAAGAAGAAGGGGAGCAAGTAATTTTGGTGGAAAACAAATTGGATAATAGCCATTGTTACTCTCACGAGAATAGAAGAAATGCCATTTTGAGGTTTTATATGTTAGACGCCGAAGCGTACATAATATATAAGATCTAGTTGCGAATTGGGTTAGTAATCATGATCAAATTCAAAAATGATCTAACGATGGAAAGCAAATATAAAGGTACTCGTTTAAAACCATAATCAGAAGGCCATTGTATAGTCTCCAAAATTTGCAAAAACAAAAAGTCATCACGCACGCAATAGATGAAACAGCAACAACACGAAACCTAGAAAAAGATGATGATGATGATAGCAAAAGAGCAATCAGCGGTAACGACGAAGGGAAAGAGAGTTGTTTTTCTTCCAGGTTGCTCTGCGAGACGGGCGGTTCTTGTGGTTGTTATGGCCTTTACCGCGCAGTCCTCTGTTCTTCTTTCCCTCAGATGTAAGTCCTCTGAGCTCACGGTGTTTGTGCACCGGGTTGCAGATCCAGTTGATCCTTGGGTCGTTACGCACTGCGTTGTGTGCCGGGTCAACCAAGATAATCTCGTAGTACTTGTAGGTCGAATCCTAATCCCGCAACAACTTTGAGTAAGTTAATTATCTATATATCAGACATGAAACAGAGAGACAGACCAAGTAGTAGGAATAGAACCTCGTTGAGCCAGTAGGAGTTGACGACTCTGAGGCCGCCCAGTTTCCTTCCAGCACGCTCCTCAGCAACAGAACGCTTGCTCCTCTGGAACTTGAGTTGGGTGACTCCCTGGTTTGTGGGCTTACCGTAGACAATACCCTTCGGCACTGGCCTCTTGCGTCCACCACGTCTCACACGGACACGGTACACCACAAATCCCTGTCATACATATTTTACATCACACAATACGATTAGTGACAGAGTTTGAGGTACGTTCTATGTACAAGAGCTAGATTTTCAGACAAGTGTTTGTTACAATAAACATCAAAACCAGACAGCTTAAAGCTATGGCATAGCAAAATATCAAACAAGTTCTAATTATCTATCTACACTCCAAGATCTCATTTTTTTACCAATAAAGTCCAAGTTTTATAGAAGAAAAAAATAAACATTTGGAAGGAGAACTAAGATCACCTGTTTGGCCTTGTAGCCCAAACGGCGAGCCTTGTCGGGACGAGTAGGCCTCACGAGACGGACAATCGAAGGCTGCTGTCTGTACTCCCAGCACCTTACCCTCTGCACGAACCTCATGACGTCGGACTGCTTCTTCCTCCATAGCTCAGACACATACTTGTAAGCACCTAGTGTTCAACAAAATCCATCGAAATTATTAAATTAGATCCATAAGACAAACATCATTTCAACGCTAAAAGAAAAACGCTAAAATCGATCCAAAGAAGAAGGAGAATGGATCTAAAAGGAGAGATGAGAAGAAGGATTTACCCATTTTCGTAAGTTTTCGCTGAGCCACACAACCTAGGGTTTGTCCCTGGCTTTAAAGAAAAAGACTAGGGTTTTAAACAAACTGGGCTTACATATTAAATAGATAAAAGTCCATTTTATATGGGCTTGAAAATTTGTATAGACGCCTATTAATTAACCAATCAAGTGGATTTTTTTGGGGGAAACTGTTTTTTTTATACCAAACTAGGTGATTTTCCCGTGCTCATGCACGGACATAAATATTTATAAAATAAACATATTATAACAATTTATTGATATTTACTTCAAATTTAAAATTAATTTATAGTTTGTAGGTATAATTTATATTAATAATATTATATTAATTTAATTATATATAATTTTAGATATGTTATATTTTGCCAATTTTATTGTTTTTACGGTTGATTTAGTTATCATTGAGCTATCTTAGATTCTATCTATTTCTACGAATTCAACTATAATCTTTTTTATTCTAAATATATTAAAATTTTGATTAATTGTCTTATTTGCATTTATGTCGGTTGTTATCTTAGAAATATAAGTATATCCTGATTCTAAATTACATACTTAAGTAACTAATAAATGTTTGCAAGCTTATGAACACATATCAATATTTACAATATTTAGACTGATTAGATGGTAAACTGAAATTTATTTTAAATAATTTTAAAAAGAAGGATTCTGAAAACATATAATTTTAACTATTAACATATAATATATATACTTCGATAAATTATATAATGTTATGATATTTTAAGATAATTGTAGTTATTTGATCAAAAAAATGTTTATTATTAAAATTCATTTTTAGTTTTGTTTTTAATATCTCTTAAAATATGCAGTGAAAATGGTATTGTTTTTGAGAAATTATATTATATAAGTAAATATAATTTATATTTTTTGCTGTAATTGTAAGATATTATAGTCAAAAATATACGAAAATAAAAAAATATATATTTCAAGAATACTGATTATAATTTTTTTTGTCAATGAAACATATATCAGTTTATGGTACTTAATTATTTTATGTAATCATCTAATAAAATAGATATATACAAAAACAAATACTTTGAAAATCTATATATTTATTGTTTAAAATTATTTTTTAAAATAAAAATATCTCTTTTTCTAATATAAAGATTACTTGTGTGAATTATTTTTATGGAATCACATTATATACAAATATTGTTTTAATCTAAGAAGATATAGTTATAAAGTATTTTATTACTTCAAAATTATATTTTATGTTATTTAAAATATATTTAAGTTAAATATTACTATTTTGTGAACTTTCCATTTTTATGAAACCATATTTATATATACTTATATTTTCGTTTTTAAATAGTTTTGTAAACTTTATACATGTTTCCTTTTTATTTTATATTGTTATTTGGAAAAAAATTAAAAGGAAATAATAATATTTAAATGTATTTTTTTAATTCATTAGGGGTATCATAGTAATCAACCAGCGTGAGAGTTAACGTGAGCGCGACACATAAGAAAGTGACTTCTCAAATAATATTATAGAGATAGGTTTGGACATTGTTCCTTTAATCTAAATTATATTTTGTACCAATTTTGACTCTATTGCCCTTTATTTATTTTCGAAATTATTAAAAATAGATTTATGAAGCAAACTTTTTTTAAAAAATAGTACATAATGATGAAACCTCTATATCAATTTAGTGATATTTTTTTTCCTGTTTTAAAAATATGTAAATAATAATTTCATATATTGTTCTACCAAAATTAGAACCCGTATACTACGGATTAGAATACGGAATCCACTTTTTTCATTATTTCTACGAAATGCAGAATATGTATTCTACGGAGATAACACGAATCTAAAATAGTTTGGAATACACATTCCACGCTTATTATAGAGTTCTAATAAAAGTAGAAATTGAAATCTAACCTTTTACTTAAATCTAAAAATAGTAGAAATCGGAATCTACATTCTCACAACGTTCTAATACATGTAGAAACCGATTTCATATCTTTTTACACAGTTCTACCTTTAGTAGAATCTGAATTCTACGGATAAATATTATTAGATCCAAAAATATAGCAAGGTCGATCAGTTTCTGCTCCGTGTTTTTTTTATGTTTTTGTTTAATCATCGAGATCGACCGCTGGGATCGACCGACTCTTTCTGGATCGATCGATCCCGTCGTATAGAGCAGTTTCTTTCGTGAATTTAAGGGCATTATTGTCATTTGAAAAATATTTAGCCTAATGAGACATAAAGTACTAGAGATTAGACTAAAGGGACAAGGTCCAAATCTATTTGGCCTAAAAAAACTATTTTCTCATTTTTTTTTCTTTTTTCCTCAACTCAGACTATTCAAAGAAAGAAGAGAAAATAGTTTTTTTTTAGGCCAAATAGGTTTGGACATTGTCCTTTTAGACTAACCTCTATTATTTATGTCCCATTAGGCTAAATATTTCTTAAATGGCAATAATGCCCTTAAATTCACTTAAAAATCGTAAAAAAATTAAAAATTAAAATCTTCAAATCGGGGAAAAAAAGACGAAAGAAACTGCTCTATATGACGGGATCGATCGATCCCGTAAAGAGTCGATCGATCCCATCGGTCGATCTCGATGATTAAACAAAAACATAAAAAAGCACGGAGCAGAAACTGATCAACCTTTTCAAGTTCAGTCGATCTACATCGATCGATCTACCAAAGATCGATCGATCTCTGTTCTAGATCGATCGATCCCGATCCCAGTTAATTCTTCCAACTCGATTTCATGGTTTTCTTCGGTTATATCTGGTTTAATTCACATTTGATTTGAACCGAGTAAACACGATTTAATCTACTAATTCGTGTTTTTGGGATCAAACCCATCAGTCTCTTCTCTGCCATCACGTAAAAAGGTAGACAAGGGAGGTTCCTCATTCATAAACCCTAACTCACTCAGTTTTGCTCTGATTTGGAAGATTCTTGAGCCTAAACCACACTATTTCATGAATATTTTTTCGACTTTCTCAGAGTCTAATCGATCGTACAGATCGGTCGATCCAGAACGATTGATCTGTACGATCGATTAGACTCTGAGGAAGTTGAAAAAAAATCGTGAAATAGTGTGGTTTAGGCTCAAGAATCGTCCAAATCATTCTGGATCGACCGATCCCCTAGGTGAGATCGATCGATCCCGTGCCTAGGCAAAACGTTTTTGCCTTTGAATTTTTTTTTTAAAATTAAACTTTAAATATGGAAACCGAATATTTCCTAATATATTCTTCCTATATTTTGATCGGATCTAATAATATTTATCCGTAGAATTCAGATTCTACTAAAGGTAGAACTGTGTTAAGAGATATGGAATCAGTTTCTACATGTATTAGAACGTTTTAACAATGTAGATTTTGATTTCTATTAGTTTTAAATTTAAGTAAGAATTTAGATTTCAATTTCTACTTTTATTAGAACTCTATGATAAGAGTGGAATGTGTATTCCAAACTATTTTAGATTCGTGTTATCTGCATAGAAAACATATTCTGCAGTTCGTAGAAATAGTAAAAAGGTGGATTCCGTATTCTAATCCGTAGTATACGGATTCTAATTTCGGTAGAATAATATATGAAATTATTATTTACACATTTTTAAAACAGGAAAAAAATATCACTATATAGATATAGGGGCTTCATCATTATGTACTATTTTTAATTTTTTTTTTGCTTCATATTCTTAATAATTTCAGAAATAAATAAAGGGCATTAGAGTCAAAATTGGTACAAAATATAATTTAGACTAAAGGGACAATGTCCAAACCTTTTCTGTCTAAAAAAACAATTTCCCCAAGAAAGAAATATACACACTCAACATTACTCTCAGACCATCTCCGATAATGCTTCATTTTTTACTTTTTATTTTATTTTAAAGCAAATTTTTGTTACAATGAGACTTCATTTCTTGCTTCAAAATGGAGCAATGAACAGTACTGCTTCAAATTTGAAGCAATACTATTCATTGCTTCATATTTGAACCTGAACTTTCTAAATTATAAATTGGTCCTTAACTTTTGCTTGTTCTTATTTTTGGATAAAATAAATTATATTAGTCAATGTAACCCCATTAATTTTTAATATATATTTATTATATAATTTAATTTAATTTATGATATTAAATATTTTTAAAACATATATTATATGAAATATAGCGTTAAATCATTAATATAAAAGTGAAATACATGATTTATAAACCAAACTAAACGTAAAATACTTAACACAACACTAGTAACACTTCGTGACCCATTAAGATTATTAAAAAACTGTCCAAATGAAGTTGATGTCTGAGGAGGTTATTGAGCTTGTTGTTCTTCACCCCTTTCCAATAAAATCCATTTTTTTTTCCGGATTGCATGTATGCATGAACATTAGGATGTTATATGGAGTTTACATCAGAAAATAAAATTTTGTTTTCTTCTTTAAGTTTTTTCAAAGCATAATTCTTACTTTGTATCTCCAAATGTTGTTGTCTTTGTGCACTTCTCTTCTTCAATTGTTCCAATAATTTTTTATTTCCTTCTTCCAAGGTGTTAATAACAAGTGCAGTTTGATCATCTTTTTTTTTTAAGTTTGGATTTTTTTACTTCAATTGGTCTTGTGGATGAAGATCCACCAATAGTATCTTATTCATAATCTAAATTCAAAAGAAATGAAGACAAACCTGGAGCTTCTTGTGTAGAAAAATCTGAGTTAAGATTTTCAAACTGTGAATTTATATCTCCAAAACTACATGATTTTGATACTTATCTAGCAGATATGTCACCATCTTTAAACTTCTCAAAATTTTCGATAATATTCCATACATGATCAAATTTCTAACTACCTTTGTATTTTGGATCATCCATAAACATTATTTTGGCTTGTTGAAACTACATATCAATTAAAAACAAAAAAAATATTATGACAAAGTAAATAATATATACATTACATTAAACAAAAAGTACTTACAATATCATCATTTGAAGCGCCACTTGGACATCTGTTTTCACTTTGTTTGATGCATGTATGAAATTTTTTTGTTGTATTCTCAACAGTTTGAATTCGACAACGAATATATTGCTTTGTGCGTTCACTCCAACTTGCATTTTTTCCCAATATCGTAAGCTTCTGCCACGCGAGATCAGAACTGATCTACTGTCTGATTAAACACCTTTGATTGGATCTTGAGATAATTTCATATAAACTTGGCATAAGAACTTATCTTCTTCTTGAGTATATCCAGAAGAACGTAGAGGCATTTTTTTTGTAAATAAAGTGAAAAGATATTGATGCAAAAAAAAAAAAAATGATCCAATGTTTTGAATCAAAATGTAGAACACAATACGATATTTATACATGATAATATTTTCATAGTTCTCAATTGGTCATGACATGACAAGATTTAATAATATAAAGAAAAAGTTTTTCAAAGATTCTCACACATTTCAATTTACTACATGATATGATAATGCAATGAAAAGTTATTCAAAGATTCTCAGAATTTTCAATCCAATATGATAAGATTTGATAATACAATGAAAAAATATTCAAAATTTCTCACATTTTTCAATCTACTATAAAGTGATTTGATAATACAATGAAAAGTTAATTTAAAGATTCTCATATTTTTTTCCTACTATGACATAATTTGATAATTCAATGAAAGTGATTCAAAGATTTTCAGAATTTCCAATCCAATATGACAAGATTTAATATTACAATGAAAAAACTATTCAAAGATTCTTAGATTTCTCAATCTACTATAAAGTGATTTTATAATACAATGAAAAATGATTTAAATATTCTGTTATTTGTTGGTTTCCACACACTCAATTATTTCTATATATACTACCAAAAATCTTTGTTGGTTATCAACTTCTACAAAGAAATATTCTGATATTACTCAATTTCTTTACACACTCTAAATTTCTCTCTTAAAATGAATTATAATTTCTACATTTGGATGCTTATTCTTATTCTGATGATGATGATGGAAATCAAGAAATGATCGATAGTCTTGACCAAGAAGAAGAAGCGATACCTTCTTGATCAACAAAGCAACCGAGTGATTCATGGAGGCTCAGTTCCTGGACGTGCATTTATCCATCGCGATTGTGAAAGTGCTCATTTTAGATTGTTCAACAATTACTTCTCGGAGAATCCTAACTACAATGACACCATGTTTCGTAGGATATATCATATGTCTCGTTCTTTATTCCTTCGCATTGTTAATGCAGTGGAAGATCATGACAACTATTTCAAATTACGAAGGGATACAACTGGTAGATTTGGTTTATCATCTCTTCAGAAAGTAACACCTGTCTTTCGGATGCTAGCTTATGGTTTACTCGCTGATGCAACAGACGAATACATAAAAATTGGTGAATCAACAGTAATCGAAAGTATGAAAAGATTTTGTCGAGCTATAGTGGAGATATTCTTAGAGGAGTACTTATGATCACCAACACCTGCTGATGTTTCAAGACTTATGTACATTGGTGAAAGAAGAGGTTTTCCTGAAATGCTAGGTAGCTTAGATTGCATGCATTGGAAATGGAAAAATTGTCCTACCACTTGGGCTGGACAATATACAGGCCGTAGTGGATCACCAACTACAGTGAAACCTCTATAAATTAATAATGTTGGAACTACACCAAAACTAAAATTTTTATTAATTTATAGAGATTATTAATTTATCGAGATATTAATTGAACCAAAAATTCAATTTGGGACTATGTAATTATATTATTTTATAGAGATATTAATTTATAGATTATTAATTTAAAGAGGTTATACTGTATAATTCTTGAAGCTGTTGCGGATTATGATCTTTGGATATGGCATGCATATTTTGGGATGATGGGTAGCAGTAATGATATCAATGTCTTGGAGTCTTCTCGTCTTTTCTCCAATCTTGCTCAAGGTATTGCACTTCCTTCACATTTTATTATTCAAGGAAACGGATATAATATGAGATATTATTTGGCCAACGATATATATTCAAAATGTTCTACCATAGTACAAACTATTCACGAGCCAATAGGTCGAAAACAATATTTTGCTGTGCAACAAGAAGCATGTCGGAAAGATGTGGAACGTGCATTTGGAGTTCTCCAATCACATTTTGCAATTGTGGATGGGCTAGTTCATCTTTGAAAAAAATGTGATACATGACATAATACTACATGTATAATTCTACATAATATGATAATTGAGGATGAGCGTGATCTCGAAGCACCAACTGACGTCAGTAGAGAAGTTCTACCAACAGAGATTGACACTGAAGATCATGATCATATTCATTTCCAAGAATTTTTGGCGCGATTTAGAAGCATTAAAGATAAAGACGCTCATTTCGCATTTCGGAACGATTTAAACGATCATTTGTGAGAAAGATATATGTCTGGTGCTTCTTTATAAAATCTAGTATTGTTGTTCTTTATTATGTGTAATAATTTTATTATATGAAAATGTTGAATCTATAATAATTGTGTTAGATATTGTTAAAATAAAATAATTGAGTACAATTAGTAAATATGAAAAAGTATAAGGTGTTATTAATAATTAATGAAAAATAGAGATAAAATATACTTAGAATATTCATTTTACCAAAAAATGAAGCAAACCATTGGAAAAAATGTACTTCATTTCTTGCTTCATTTTGAATAAAGTAAACTTTTGAAGCAAAAAATGAAGTTAACCATTGGAAATGCCCTAATACCACTTTTCTTTCTTTTTACTAGCATGGTTGATTTGATGGTCCCTCGTGATAGATTTTTATTTACGTATATATGTTAGCTAAATTGCTGATTAGAATAATAACATGTGTCTTGGTGTTCCATCTCTCCTTTTTGGTGTTCCATCTCTTGTTTCATTGGATCCACTTTACAATGCACTTTTGATTTTGGAGGAGGTCTTGGTGTTGGAAACTATTATTTTTTGCCAACATTTTCTTTTATCAAGTTTCCATTCTGCTGAATTTTCCAGTGTTTTTATGTTGTTTTGGGATTATTATAGCAAGTCTAAAACCGTTTTAGAGTATCTCAGTAATTAAAAAATGGAAAGGGAGAAAATTAGAGAAAGATAGAGAGAAAAGTTCTATGCTAGCTCATATAAGAACGTATTAAGATAGGTTAGAGGGCAGCTATTATTTCTATTGAGCTAAACATTTAAAAGAAAAACAACTACAGTTAAAAACAAAATTGTAATATAATATTAATCTTTATTTGCTGAGAATTTATTTTTGAGAAAATATCCTATAAATGTGTTCTTATGGCATGCTTGCGGAAAATATTGGTAATAATATTTTTTGAGAACATTATCGGATAGTTTCTTATGGCATATATATATATATATATATATGTTTAGGTAATAATATTTTTTGAGATTTTATATTGATATTCATGATTTAATATTAGTGATATGTTTGTGGAAAAATGTATTCAAGTATCTTAAGTGCTGGTATAACGTTTTCTGTTGTCCGCTAATTTTAATTTTTTAGATATTTTATTAAAACTATATAATAAGAATAAATTACTTAAATTTTCATAAAACATTCAAATTTATTAACTCTGACACTATATATAATTTGTTTTCATTTTTTGGTAAACTCATGTATTTGATCTCTGTTGTGATATGATAGACCATAAATGTTTTTTAATCAGTTTAAAATTCAAAAAAACTTTAATTGCTGTGAAAGACCAAAATAGTAAAAAATAGGCGATAGACTATTTATGTGTTTTGATAACAATCTTCTATCTTCTACAACAAAGTGTTTCAATAAATTTTCAAACTTTTTGATATTGTTGCTTGTAAAATATTTAATTCCTTAAATAAATCATCACTAACTATATCTAATACATACCAATTTTAGATTTAAATATGATGTGTCCAAAATATCATACCCATTATGTCAAACAAATATTATTTTAACTAAAACTTTATCAGTTTTATTTATGGATATACATTCCATAAGAAAATAAAAACAAATATCTATACTATTAAAGCATAATCCCTTTAATAGTATAAGAACATTTGAGAAGTATTTGTTTTTTCCCTTATGTTTAAGAATTATTTACATTGGTATGCCATTATTTTTTAGAATATTTAAATTAATTTCAGAATATTATTCAAACTAACTTCCTATCTACTGTTCCAATTTCAGAATTTTTTAGAATATTTAAATTAATTTCAGAATATTATTCAAACTAACTTCCTATCTACTGTTCCAATTTCAGAATTTTTTCTACCTGAATCGTTATCATACATAGTTTTACTTTGGCATCTAACAAAGGTATCTAGGTATCTGACGAACATTATAAAAAAAAAAAATTGCAGGCTCTTTATCTCAATTGCCGGGATTCGTGTGGTGTTTTTCAGTTATGTGATGTTGCTTTTTCTCGAGGTTGAAGACGACGATTGTCGGAGAAGAGGAGGCTGGTGGATTGGTGCACGATAAGGTACTCTCCAGTCTTCTTTGTAGCATTCAATAGTTTAGTGAACTTTTGTGGTTGTTCTAAAAGGATTCTTAGTATTCAAACATCGAAACTGTATTTAGAAAAGCTTGACGAGTAGTTGAGAAAGTTCCATGTTTGACAATCTAGAAATTTTGGATGAATTAGTATTTGAGTCTTTGTTCACTAAGTTTTTTTGCTTCTGGGTAATAACTGCAATCAGACAAATGTAGGCTTTTGGCTGATGAGGGCGCTGTCTTGCTCCTCTACTCATTGTTGCAAGAGAACTCCGACTTTAGAGAGTATGTTTTTCTGCGAATCGATATGGATACAATGGTATGATTCATAAAGTCCACTATGTGTTTATTTTATTTAATTTGTTCCATTATCATCAAAAGTATAAATCCATTCTTCGATTTTGTTGGACTAAACTGTTTAATTTGTTGAGGTAAAGTCCTTATGGTTTCATATCAGTTATCTATGGTAATAGGTATGTACTTTTATGGACGGTTGATGCCCATTCTGGAAACGCTAAGTGTACCTGATGCTAATTGTACTTCTCATACTTAGTCAGGATTCATCATTCAACTCAAGCCTTCACAAGATGGTATGTGCTGTTTTCTATTGTAGGATTGAAGTGACATTTCTAAACCAAGTTTCTTTTCTTATTTCATTTCATCTGAATGTATACTTTCTAGG